GATAACCAGCAAGGTCCTACTGTATATAGCACAGGGAACTGTATTCAATATCCTGTGATAAACCATAATGGAAAAGAATATGAAAAAGAATGTATATATAAGTGAATCACTGTGCTGTACAGCAGAAATTAACCCAACATTGTAAATCAATTACACTTCAATTAAAAAAAATAATAAGATGAGCAAAAAAACACAAAAATCCAGGCTTAGTTGTGAGGTTAGGTGGCAGGTTCTGAGCTGCATCACTACCTGGGGCAGAGGGTGTGGGATGCCACCCCTGAACAGAGGCAAAGTTCACCCTTGGTTGGAGCTCATCCTGTTGCCCCCCCCCTCTCTCCTTCACATGCATGGTTGAGGAAAGAGATGAGGCCTCTTGAATCTTGTGGGGCCTCGTGAGCTCCCTTCTGTTATGGTGGGTGGCCCAGAAGCAAGAAAACTTTGCTGACCTGTTATGGGCCATGGAGGAGACCTGGAAGCTTCTACTGGGTGCTCTGTGGAGTTGAGGAGTGAGCTGGGACCCCACACACAGACCTGAACCCTAAACAACCCTGTCTACAGGGGCACCATCCATGCCTGGCCCACGGAGTTTGTGGGGAGCCCAGGGTGGGCTCTGCCATCAGAGCAGAGACAGGGCCTCCTGTCTTGTTATCAGTATTCACGATAAGTGCTTACACCTCAAGAGCGTGGAGGACAGACACCCAAAGCGGGTAGTGAGTGTAGGTGAGGATGCAAGCAGGGGCGAGTCCTCAAGCAGTGGGTGGTGTGTGGGTGCAGGCAGGGGGTGTGGGTTCAGGAGATGGCAACTGGATGTGTGTAGGATGAAGGGGTTGGGGAAGGACAGGGGATGATACCTGTTAGGATGGTGGGCCCCGAAACCTAAGAGTCATGTGCTTTAGGCTGAAGAGTTTGGACTTGCCCCTTGCAGACTGTTCTCTTTGCATCAGTAGAGTAGGTCCAGAGTAATGGCGCGCATGGACAGGTTAGAAAGGAACATCTCATTTACTCTATCAAGTGGCCATATTTTGTTTTTAATATTCTTTTCTTATAAATGTATAGGGCAGAGGTATGGAGATCAAATTCCAAAAGGTTACAGGAGTAACCTGACTTTGTGTAATTTTATTCTTTTCAAATGAAGCAATTTCCATTAACAAACTGTATAAGAAAGTGACATTAAAATATTATGCTCTTGAAAGTTTTATAAAAACACTTTAACAAATATATATATATTATATATATATAATCCTTTATAAAACCTTGTTTTGATTTTGAAACATAGAGAATACTTTTTTTATAAATAACTTTTTAACCCAAGTATTATATGTGTGTTGTAGGAAAGAGAGAAGATAAAGTTTAGTGAAAAGAAAACTTTTAAATCTCTACTGCCTTTGTTTCAGAGACAGTAGTTGCCATTTCACTGCATATCTCTCCAAAATTCTTTCCATGGATATGTTTATATTTCTTTGCAAAATATAATTATTCTACCGTAATGTTTCAAACGTTTAAATTTAATCTATTTTGAACAGTTTTCATATCAATAACTACATTCAGCAGTGTAATTTTTAGTTTCTAAATATCACAGGACTGTTCCTAAATGTACAACAACTTAACTAGTTCTCTCTCTGTGGGACATTTAGGGTGTTTCCAGTGTTCTGCTATTATAAACAACACTACAAAGAACATCCTTGAAAATAAATCATTGCGCACTTCCTCCATGATTTCCTAAGGATAAATTTCTAGAAGTGGAATTTTTAGTTTAGAGACTATACACACAGTTTTTTAAAAGGCATTTGAAATGTATTGCCGAATTGTTCATTGGAAAGGTTGTAGCAATTTACGCTCACGCCAGCAGTACAAGAGAATGGCCATTTGACCAATCCAAAGTGAGAACTTAGGGATTATAACAGGGCAGGTCAAGGAGGAATTGGTCTCTGGGGTCTTGCATGTGATTCCCTTAAACGAAAATTGAATGTGCCATTAAAACCTTGGGCTTAGCGAGGGAAACCAATGAACAGGCACACCGAGGGATGCTGGAGAGATTGGACTTCTTTTTTTGGCTGTCTTCCTAAGACGTCATTTGACCGTTTTAACATGGACCCAGGAACTTTCAGGAAGATGTTTATGTATCATTTTTAGAATATCTGTTTCTACCATTCAGAGAAGAAAATGCCTTCCTAGAATGAACTGATTTCTAGGAGGTAGTTACACCAAAACATAGTCCTTCCAGGTTGTTAAATGCAAAACAAAACAAAAAGAAGAGTTTGGCTAATACCTAGCTGTGGAATTTATAGGAAATGGCTCGGGGACCCCTTTGGAAGGGAGGGTCTTCTCTCCGAGAGGGCCGTTTAACTGTCCTCTGCACAGAACCAAGGAAAGAGGACTTGAATTCAGGGCATCCTAAGACCAATATATGATCTGTTCCTGAATAACGAGGAGTCATGACATACCATGAGAAAAAAGGAAAAAAAGGACTTTCTATGGAAACATTCTGGAGTTTAGAACATTTTATCCCTGAAAGCAGAATGCTGACCCAATGGCAAAGAGCCATCTGAACTTCAGTGACTTGGACAGAGTTAACATTCCCAATACACATTCGGTTTTCACAGGCTAACAAAATGTTTCCATGTGTTTGGATTACAAAGGAATATGCACAGCTTTCTGTCAACACTGCCGTTTGAGCTTTTGTAGATGTTCTGCGCTTTGTAGCAGAACCAGAGTTCTTAGTTTATAGCTTCTATGCATGGGCCCTATGACCAGCAATTCTACATCTAGGTGCTCACCTAGGCCAGCACTTTCTCAAGCTTAATGTGCACATAGATCAGCTGAGAATCCTATGAAAATATAGACTCTGATTCAGCAGGCCTGTGGCAGCACCTGGGATTCTGCATTTCTAATTAGGTCCCAGGGGATGCCAAGGCTGCTAGATCCCACGACCACAGTCTGAGTAGTGAAGCCCCAGGGTAGATGGTCTGAACCACTTTAGAATTACCTGGACAGCTTTTAACAACCCTGATGCCCGGGCTGCCCTCCAGCAGAATTAACTCAGAATCTTTGTGGGTGAGACCAGGCATCAGTAGTTTTTTATCTCCCCATGATTCTAATGTGGAACCCAGGCTGTGGACCAATGCACATTGCTTCACATGTGGGTGGGGAGGGAGACACAGGGGTCTTCATTGATAAGTAAGTTGGTTATATTTGTGGGGGGGTGGGGATATCCGAGAGCGGCTTAAATGATGAAATATACCTCCATGGATTGACCTGGACACATCTTGAAAATACAGTGCCGAACGCCAAAAGCAAATCAGGTACCATTTATGTTAGCTTAAAGGCACACAACAACATATGTGCAGTGGATATGGTAAAAGTATTCAGATATGTATAGGGATGATGCATATATCATTTCAGGATAGTGGTTCCTCCTGGAGTGTCCAGGAGGGGAATGGGTTAGGGATGGATTCTACTGGGGTTGAAAGAATTTCTATCTATTACAAAAGACATGAAAAAGTAGGGAATGAACAAAAGGAGGGAGGGGGAGGCAGAAAGAGAGTAAGAAAGAAAAAGAAAGGAAAGAAGGAAGGATGGGAGGGAGGGAGAAAGGGAGAATTCTGGTGACGGTGACTGTCTGGCTGTTTCTCACTGTTACTGCCACTGACTCTGGAAACCAAAAATGTATCCCAAAAGCACATCAAATGCCCATTCTTGAGCAACCCGAAACATTAGTAAGACCGAACAAGCTTCTAAAACTATTAGCTAGAAAGCAATTCAAAAGAGTGATGTATTCCCCCAGCAGATATTTTCACTCACGATGATCTGAGTATCGTGGCACGCCTGCCCTCTACGAGCCTGTCCAGAGGACCCAGACCAAGGCTTTCATTACACATTGGAAACAGACACAGAAAGGAGAAGCAGCCTCTGGAGGCTGCAGCGTTGAGAGACCCTGGGATCAGGACTCTGGGCTCCTACTCCTTTGCCCAGGTGTCTCTCTGTGCTCAGGGACCCCAGGGAGGAGCCCCGTCTGCTGGCAAGGCGCCCTGGGCACCCCTCCACCCAGGCTGTTTGTGTGGGGTGGTCCCAACTTGTGTGTCCGTTGGGGATCACCTGCTCCTTTTCCCCAGAGGCTTGCTCTCCTGGTCATACAGGGTTCCCCTCCCATATGTGGCAGCAGAGCGTGATGACACTGCCTGCATCCTGTGGGGTGTTTGTGCCCCAGCTGTGGAATGTGAAAGCCCCCCAGCCAGCTTGCCTCCTGCAGGTGTGAGTTAGTTGCAAAACCAAGTTCTCTGCAGGAAAAGCGTGTAACGGACGGCTCTCTCTTAGAAACACTAGCTCCTGGGAAGTGCTAGGATTCTGGTTGACCTACACATCATCTCCAATCCTGTGGTCAATATTTCTCAGTATTTCAGACAAATACTGTATGGGACTTTTTTTTTTTTTTTTTTTTTTTTTTTTTTTGGTAATCTGTAATTAACATCTTCCTGATATGTGTTGCTGTTATTTCATATAAAGATACCAGTAGTTTTCTGAGGAAAGAAAGTTTTCATTTATTCTTATTCATTTTTTCCCATTCTTTTTTAAATTGAAGTATAGTTGATTTACAATGTTGTGTTAGTTTCAGGTGTACAGCACAGTGATTCAGTTATATATATATATTCACACATACACATATTTTTATATGAATAAATGAATAAAGAAACTAATAAAAAGAAAATCCCATCCCTACAGGAAACTTTAGATTATATGAGCAACAGAAGGGCAGGTGGTGTGAATAATCCTAAACTTCCAGAACAATTCACTTTAAAGACAATGGTCTCTGACTGTGAGTCAGTTGGTCTTCCTCAGACATTCTCCTCGGTCCCTGAGCCTGGCTTGAGGCTGTGCTTCTGGAAGAGAGGGAGGGGATGCTCTGGAAAGCTATGGCTGGTGGGAGATCCCACCTGGGATATGGCTCTACCCCAGAAATTTGTCTTCAAGAGTTGACCAAATACGCTTCCATCCCCTTTCAGATCCTATGCTATGGAGTACGGACCATGTCCGGCAGTGGCTGGAGTGGGCAGTGAAAGAATATGGCCTTCCGGATGTCGACATCTTATTGTTCCAGAATATTGACGGGAAGGAGCTGTGCAAGATGACCAAAGACGACTTTCAGAGGCTCACCCCGAGCTACAACGCTGACATCCTTCTGTCGCATCTCCACTACCTCAGAGAGAGTAAGGCAGTCCCCGCTCCCACAGAGAGCACTGTCAAGAGGTCCTTGTTAACGTAAGATGCGAGGGTTCAGCCCAGTTGCCGACAGCATCTTGCTGCCCTAACCCGATTCCCACTAGTATCTGAGAGAATGCTTATAAGTGATGACTTAGGTGATCGCGTAGTGAGAAGTAGTCAGCGCTTTTACGAGAAGGGGCAAAGTCAACTAGCATTCAGCTGCCTCCTCCAGAGTCCCCCAAGCAGGAAGATCACATGCCAAAGGGAAACAGAGCTTTATCTGGTCACACGTTATTTCATCTCCATGATGCCCAAATAGAAGTAGAAACATTATGGGAAGGCTCCTACTTGATGGGAATTGTGGAGTATATCTTCCCTAAAGCCAAACCAAGCTCCCCTTCATATTCCACTCGAACACAAAATGAGGAACATTTTCACTTGGTATCGTGAGATGCGGCTTAGCCTGTCACAGTGGGAATGGCGTCTTGGCAATGAGAGGCATGAATCCACAGAGTCTGCTGCATGCTTTAATATTTCAAATGTCAAGCATGATCAGAAGGAGATAGTAGAGATAGTGCAACAGTGGGTGATGTGAACTCTTTGGTGTAAATGCTTTGCTTGGCATCCCAGCCACTTCTTCCCTGAACTCAATATGGATCCCCGTCTAGGTTTTAACATGCTAACCAGTAGCAGGGCCATGGAGAGATTTCCAAGCAGCCCATGATAACAGGGTGGGGAGTGGGGTGAATGTTTTCCTTCTTTTTCTTCTTTTTTTTTTTTTTTTTCAAGGAAGGTAATTCTCTCTCTCTTTTTTGATTTGGATGTTGCTTTTTGTTTTGTTTTGTAGCACCTCTTCCACATTTGACTTCAGATGATGTTGATAAAGCCTTACAAAACTCTCCACGGTTAATGCATGCTAGAAACACAGGTAATGCTGGCCCTGCCCCTTCCCCCCAGGACAAGTGTAGGGTTATGTTTACAGGTTGCATGCTTTACAGGTAGAACGGGGGACAGTCAGTGCATCAGGAAGGCAGAAGTCAGAGGTGGATGGTTCAGGGGTCCTTGGTAGGTTGAGGCTCTGTGTTGGCGGTACCACAGCCTCAAGGCAGGAGGCACTCTTTGGTCTCTGAACACTCCCCCGCTTTCCTTGCCAGTCAAAGGATTTCTTTCAACCAGGAGATGTGCAGAATTAGCCTTCAGCCAGAGCCTTAGCTCACATTGGCTGGGTTACAGTCTGCTGTTATTAGTCCTCCAGTATGCCCTGTGCTGACTGTAGAAACTAAAAGCATGTTCCATATGAAGGGGCCCGTAGCATAATGCTCCTTTTTTTTCTTTTTTTCCTTTTAAGATTTTTGTTCTTAAAGGAATGTTTACTAGGACAAGCAGGAGTTTTACTTTTCCCTTTTTGGTAAAGTTTTAGGCCATTCAACTTGACTTGAATCTTCTTGCACAGTCTTTGTACATTTGCAAAAGGCAGTAGGAGGGAATGTCGGTTACTTTGGGGGAGATTTTGTTGTGAGGGAAACTGTGTTATGACTTTGGAAGATTTGAAATTAGTGACTAACTAAATACCTGCTATTCTACGTCTAACCATTGATGCTACATTTTATTTTTTTATCTATTTTTTTTTTTTTTTTGCCTGAGCCTGATAGAGTTTAATGTGATGCTTCTTCCTGGCTAACCCTGCTCCCTCCCCTCCTAGTAAAGCCTGAGAGTAGAGGCTGGGCTTTCTGTGGATGAATGTGGCCCTGGTCACACCCATTTCCTCCCTGGTGATGGAGACACTTACAGAAGCAGGGCCGAAGGCTGCTTACCCCATTGTTGTCAGCCTGCAGGGACCCTCTGCCACCACCAGGCTAGGGAGAAAACCATCTAGTGTTGGAAAGACTTAAATAACCCCTCATAGGCAAGCCAGCCAATTCATGATCAGCCCTCACATAGGAATACAGCCATTTTCCAAATACTTGCCATGTTATTTTTAAATGTATGATGTGAGTGAGTCCAGGCTTGAGTATTACAAAGGGATTGCTCGTTGATCTCCAGTAGCCAGAATGTTGTGCTTTTAATCTGAAATTTTTTAAAAATGGCTTTGAGTCAATAATACACTTTTTCAATGTAGGTTACACAATCAGCCTATTAATGACCTACCTTGTGGCCAGAAATAGCAAGCACCTTAGACAAAGTAATTCCCCTGTCTTAGGAAATGCCTTGGAGATACACACACTTTCTGATAATTTCTTAGTCATTTAAAAAATTTTTAGCAGAGGGTGAAAGTGTCAGGAAAGCTCTGACTTCATTATTTTTGCTATTGCTAAACATAGAAGCAGTTGAAAAGCAGGACGACAAATTCCAAACGGACTGACCTGTGAAAAGAGAATTACTTCCACTAACAATTTGAGAACTGATTGAGAGAGAGAAAGGGAAAATGTGCATCTGAACAGAGACACGGATTAATTTTTTTAAAAATCCACATATTCTTTGGCAAAATATTTATCATTCTTTGGTGCTACTTTCCAAGGGCGCTGTAAAATGTTTTATGGATTTTATATGATTTGAAAATTAAAACACCCACCATAGAATTGTTTTAATAAAATGAGCTTGCAGGGGGATGGGCAGGCCCACGGATGGGCTTAAGCAGGAAGCTGTAAAATCAAAACACAAGACGCCTTATGCCAAGTGGGGCACAGAGAGAGTCACATCTCTTCCATCTTCCGCATCTGTTTGTGACCTGTGTGCTAGTCCCTTCTCCCGAAGTCTGGCGTGGCAGGTTCTAGCAGGCCACCTCCCTCGGTTGTCATGGGGCAAAGTAGATTAGGCGCTGTTGCTGAGATCAGATCAACAACCACAGCAAAAGACCTTCACATGTTTTGTCTTTCCTTTTGTCTGCAGGGGGTGCAGCTTTTATTTTCCCAAATACTTCAGTATATCCTGAAGCTACGCAAAGAATTACAACTAGGCCAGGTACGAAAACACCCCTGTGTAATCTCTTTATTGAGAGACATCCCAGGATGTTCTGTGAGATCCGTGACCTACGTCACGAGACACAAAGACAGCTGATCTTGGATCGGACCTCTAAACAGTCTTATTCTGCCTCTGTGGATCTGGTGCCTAGAATCAGACCGTTCCATTCAGAGATCACGCGAACAGTCCCTGAACTGCGGGATTATAAGCAGGTCAGCCCCTTCACTAGCTGCTGTCAAAGACAGATGAGCCAAGAAGGCATCCTGGATGCCTGGCGATAAGGAATCCATCCGGTTTCGAGTTTACAGAAGGACATAAGTGTAATCTATCCGTCCTCAAGGCACAGCACAGAGCAGGAGGCATTCCCCTAACACTAGTGGCTGGTTCCCAGCTGTCACGAGAGCCAGTCTTTCCGAGCAGAAGCATGTAATCAATCCTATTTACACCTGAGTCTTACTTTATGTCTTTCCCGATGATTTAATTAGGTTATTAATTTACGCGTCATTCACGAAAAGAATCACAATTTATCAAGTGTCTATTAGTGCCAAGCACGATGTTAGATTCTGGGAATCTAAAGATGAACCAGACTTTAGAAAGCTTCCTGTCTTCAGAAAGCTGGCCTGTTCATTCCACAGTTGTCCATGGAGCCTCCTGAGTGCCAGCCACGGGGGTGCAGCAGAGAACAAGCCCCAAGCTGTTCTCTTGGACGTCTGTCACGTGTCCAGGCTGCCCAAGTCCTAGTTTGAACTGGTCCCAGGCACTAAGCTTGGCGCTGCTGTTTCTTCCCAGTGAAAAAGACGGGGTGGGGGGGTGGGGCAGGGAGCTAAATAGCCCGGGTGAAGATGCTTCTCGGAGTTTTTCTCACCCCGACACAGCCCTGGCACTGTGACTTCAGGCTGGCGATTTTCTGTCCTCTAACCTCATAAAGTTCCTCCTGGGAAGCATAGTGGAAAGGCTTGGCGGTAGTGCTTAGTTACCTCTGACACAGGCCATTTGATCGTGGACAAGACCAGGGTCTGGAGTGAACTAGATTGACCCTAAAGAAACCCGCCGTGTGTACTGAGAAAGGACAATGAAAGTACACGTGTCGCGCTAGCTCTAGACATTCCTGAGTTTACCGCCAGTAAATGGTCCCTTGGGAGGACATGGGAAGTGTAGGAAAATCACAATGATTTTGTGAGTGTTTGAAAGAAGTTTCCATACATACTCACAAAAGTCAAAGCTATCTGTGAAACATTTGGCCATGGGTTGCTTATTTGTTTGTTTGTCTGAAGCAATTTCATGGATGCCTCTGAGTTGCAAAAGCCAGGGATTGTGAGCTGGTGTCAGGGCTGTGTGGCCGCGTGAGTTCGTTCAACATGATGGTCAGAGCAGCCAGCCGGCTGCCTGTTGCTTCATAGATGGAGCAATGGGTCCTGGAGCTCCTTTGCTCCCTATTTGAGCATATGGTGGATTTGGAAGATGTGGCGCGTCCAGGTGTCAGAGAGGAGGGTGGCCAGGAGGACTCTGGCTGGGACACCCCTCTGTGCTTCAGCCCAGGGCGAGACAAGGGTGGCAAACACTAATTCACCTAGCAAAGCCCTGATGATACTCTTTTCTTGGGTCTGTCATTCGAGTGTGACTTGGAAGAAACTTGATTTGTACCAAAATACGTGTTTTGGTGATTGCTGTTGTGATTCTGAAAGGAGATAAAAATATTAGTGTCTGAGCTACAAAGAATTGAAAATCGGAGTGAATGAGCCGGAGAACGGTTTGCTGTCAGCCCGACTGAGGGATTCGAACTTGGAGAATAGACTTGTTTGTATACCTTGGGTGGACCAGTGATCAACCTTGCAGGAATGGTCTTGTGAATGTGAAAGCTTATAACGGTGCAGTTGGAGAAGTTTGTGATGGGTCGGGGGGATGGGTGTTGCACATCATTGGGGGAGGGGGTCACTGGGAATCTGACCGTGTCCCTTTGGTTGGTGAGTATCTGAC